AAAAAAAAAAAAAAAAAAAAAAACGCTCTGAGGATGGATCAAAAGTCGTTTAAATGTATTTGAAATTTAAGTTGTAATTTGTTAAGTTATGAATAGTTTGACATAGACAAATGTTTCTCCAATTTATTAGTTTTATCTGGATTAATCATATGATAATATCATGTTCCTGATAACAAGGAATATATCATTTTATCAATTGTAATATATAATTCCACTGTTCTTACACTGTTTCAACTTGCGCGATAACAACAGTTTATGTACAAATCATTTATTATGTATATAACTCAACTTATTTCCATTTTCATAACTTGAAAATTTCTTTTGGAAGCCTTTAATGTAAAAATACACATGTACAGGACAAAATTAACATTCGGTACATTTATCAAATTGTCATTTGTTAAGAACAAATTTTCAATTTTGACTGCTTGTACAGAATGTTAAAAGCTGTTTGTACAAAACGTTGAGACGTGCATATATAAGAGTAATATAACATATAGATTCAGTCATGCGATGATATTAAGGAATGAATACTCTATGTCAGAATTATTGCAAAAAAACACGTGTATAAATATTATAAATATAAATGTAAGTTAAATGTAATTACTTTATAACAGACTTAACTACTTATTGAATGAATGTGTTAATCAAACATATGATTTTCCTCGAATGTGTGGTATTATGCGTTTAGTATTTATGCATATTTCCAATCTAGTCCAATTGATATTAAGGTAATCTGGTATTTAGATTATGTTTATCTCGTGTGAGCGACGAGATATAGTCGATTTAGCAGGTAGTTTTCTCTTATTTTTTAAGCGAATGAGTCGAAAACAGAAGAAGAGTTGTGTAGTTAATGACACGTTATCAACGAATAAAAGCATTGAAACTGTATTATAACATTCTGAAAAACTTACAAATAAGAATTAGATAAATACAATATAGAAAAGTTTTTATAATTAACATTTTCGAACATTTAATTTGTATGTTAGAAGAATTGTTTGCTTCGAAGACGTATAAGAAAGTTGAAATGATACATTAAATATACACAGATTAAGATATGAAAAGGATTTGATCTAGAAAATCTGGATTTGATCTGTGAGCATTTAAACGTTTAGATATTAGTTGAAGTTTTTTGTGAGAAATGATTAAACGTTAAACAGACATAGTTATAAAATCTTTTTGTGACTTGTTATAAATTTGAAACATTATCTCCTCGCAACATAGATGAGTTTACAGCTATTGTATCGAATCATATTAAATTAATACTATTAATCTAATTATAATACTACTTCTGACGCAACCAATGTAAATAACAGTCTTTTACTTTGAACAACTTGTTCCAAGAACAAGAACATTTTTAGTAATTAATCGCAAAAAATTCAATCAAAGTTACTATATGTTGTGTAATAAATAAAAGAAAAGATATAAATGATTAATTTATCGACTATTATTGTTTCACTATTTAC